TTTAAGCAAGAGTATTAAAAACTCTACTTCTAAGCTTATACAATAAAGGTATATGATCAATTGAGGCCTTAGCCACACATTAAGTAATCATTGCAAGTTGAATAATCAAATGGCTTTCTTTAAACTGAATATCCATGATAAAAGGAAGACAGCTATTATTTAAAAGCCCCAAGTACAAAGACAAATTATATAGGATCACCTGCTTGCTGATCACCTGCCAGATATCCCAGGCTGAAAGTTCCATCGGACCGCCACAAGCAAGTGCGACTGCGCCACAGCCATGCCAGAGTGCCTCAGTTGGCATATGGCAGATCACAAGGGATTTAAATTGGGCAAGAAAATCCTCAAATGTCATCCAGAATTCGCCCTCCTCTACTAGCCGAGTGCAGCAGTTTGTTCCACATCTTTTTGCCTTCGCCCCTTTAGAAAGTTTAGCCCGTTGTTGGCCGGAAGCCGTCATTGTGATCCATTCCTGCAGTGGTGGTTTGATTTACAGAGGTGGAGAGTGAACTGAACAAGCGAATAGCCTAGGCAAAAATAGATAAGTGGGAATTTCATAACAATCCTGTTAGTGTTGTGGACACCAAGTAGTGTAGTTGACCATTTTTGGGGAATAACTAGGTACAGTCAAGGCAAAGAAGCTCTCTACTGGCCATCTGACATCGAAAAAATAAGATTACAGGGTAGTCTACTTCAGGAACCAACTTAAATGAAACAAAATAATGAAGTGGCATTCAGTCATAATTATAATTAAACTGCCTTTGAAATAAATTAAGAGCCAATAGTGTTGTTTTTCCTCGTACCCAATAATGCGCCCCCTACCATACTATTCATGCTAATTTTTAGTATCGAAACATTTATCTGGTACACTGCCATACACTTCGCCGGCATCGCCAGTGGGAGATTCCAGTCTGATAACTTAGTTACAACTCATCAAAGTGACAAGTGGAGGCAAGTTACTTGCCCAATGTCTTATTTAACCGTTGTTGCCCCTTTTCTTCACT